TTCTCAAAGCTGGTTGGCGATTGTGCTACAAAAATGAGCAGTAATACTGCGCAGTGACAGTCTGCTGTGGGGGAAGGGTATGCATTAGGATGACACCATCACAGTCGTACACGAGAATCACCATAACTTTCACATTGCTGAGGTTCTGACGAAATTTCGAACGTCGTGGTGACCCGTGATGACGCCATTCGTTTGATTGCCGTTTCAGCTCTGGCTGGTATGATCGGGCCCAAATCTCATCCAGCGTAATGATACGACGTAAAAAAGAATCTCCTTTGCTCTCATAGTGCTCCAGGTGGGTTTGGGCAGCATCGTGCCGTAGCCATTTCTGCATTTCCGTCAATTGATGTGGAACCCATCGTGAAGCAATTTTTCTCATGGACAGGCGTTCCTTCAGAATGTGCAGCACAGTCGTATGCACTAATCCTGTTTGTCCGGCCAGCTGACGAATCGTTTGGCGGCGATCACTGTCCATTAGTGCGGCAACAGCTTGCACGTCTGCATCGCTGACACTCGGACGACCTGGCCGCAGCATGTCTGGTATGTTTTGCCGTCCTTCATTGAATGCTTTCACCCATCTTGCTATGGTTCTGTAAGGCAATGCAGATTCCCCGCAAGCCTCTTGAAGCCTTTGATGACACTGTCGTACTGTACGACCTCTGGCACATTCAATTTTTATCCAACATCGCTGTTCTTGTTTTGAAAACATCCTGACAACACTTAGTTTAGACCGTGAGCTAATACAAGGATCCGGTCTTCGCGTGATATAGGCATGACGAGTCTTTTTGCTGAGAGGTAAGGTAGGTATGTAGTTTACGTGTGCCATACGCGATATTCTTTGATTTTGTTGTGTAGCGTTTTTTCAGCTGTGTTGCCACTATTAAAGTTCCAACCATCGTATTTTATGTTGAAGCATTTTATTACTTTCTGTTTCTAATATATCTGTTTGTCTAGGAGAAATTCTGTATGGTTTATAATGGATCGGTGTGTTTTCTGTCAACTGAATATCATGCGCTATTAAATGAGTTTTTCCAGGCTTATTAGAAAAGATTTTTGAAAACTTCAACAGCAGATCATGCAGTTCTTGAATTTGTTGTTAATTTAGCTTATCATTTAAGGAACAGTTTTTATTATTATTATTATTTATTTTTATTTATTTATTTATTTCCTCAAAATCAAACAATGTTGGTTCAGAATGAATTGTTGGGAAATTTTCCTCCATATCATCAGTTTCAGATTCATCTTCTGTAATCATAAGGCTAACCGATTCTGCTCGACTATGATACGGTTTTAGCATGTTAACATGGTAGACTTGATTAAGGTCTTTTTTTGCTTCGAAACTCACAACATAATTAGTTTTGTCTAATTTCTTTTCCACCTTCCCAGGACCTTTCCATTCAACTGCTAGTCTGTTTGGTTTACTCGTTGATATAACTAATACTAAATCTCCTTCAGAGAGTTCTCTTTTGATAGTTTTACAATCATACTACACTTTTCCTTTAGTTTGCATTTCAAGCATTTTATCTGTAGCCAGCTGTTTGCATCTTTTTAACCGATTTATCAATTGAAAAATGTATTCAACAACATTATTTCCTTCATCTTTAGGATTCATCCATTGTTCATATTATAATGTTACACGTGTTCTAAGATTTTGACCATATACTAATTCTGCAGGTGTAAATCCCATACTCTCATGCATTATTTTTCTTAAAGCAAATGGAGCTGTGGGAACTTGCTTCTCCCACTCAGGGGCTGCTTCGATGCATAAGGCTCTTTAAATTCGTTTGATTGTTCGGCAAAATCTTCCAACAGTGTTGCTTTGCAGATGGTGTACTGAGCTTCTAGTTACTTTTATTCAAAATTTTTCTACAAATTCAATGGCTAGATTGCTCATGAAGGAAGTACCTTAGTCAGTTTGTATTTTTGGGAAACCCATTCTACTAAATATTTGTAATATGGCTTCAATTACTGACGTTGTGCCAATATTAGAAACAGGTACAGCATCTGGATAATTTGAAGCTAATCAAATAGCTTCAATTAAATATGTAGTGCCGTTTGGTGTTATTGGTAAAGGGCGCATGTGTCAAAGTTAATTTCTGAAAATACTTCTGCAATAGTTTGTACTAAAGTCTAAGGTGCTTTGGTTTTATCATTAGATTTTCCCACCCTTTGACATGGATCGTAAGTTTTAACATACTCTTCTATTTCTTTATAGCAATTAGGCCAGTAAAAGTATCTTGTTAATCTATCTTTAGTTTTGATGATGCCTAAATGTCCAGATGTGCTATCATGACATAATGACTTTATTTGATCGCTATATTTTTCAGGAATAACAATTAATTCTCTTTCATTTCTATTTTTATCTATTTTCCTTTTCACCAACATTCCGTTTTCTTTTACTTTGAAATCATTTGTCTTGCTGAAATTTTCATTTTTAGCTTCATTAAGCAATGAGGCTAGATCTCTGCTTTGATTCTGAGATTCAATTAATTCCTTAGAATTAACATTAATTACTTTCTTAATTTCCTTGTCTTCCTCATCAGCTTGCGGTAAAATATCATCGTCAGTCTCAATAAATATTAGTTCTTCTAGTTTCTCTACTTCGATCTTCTTCACAAGATTTTTTTACTTGAGATTGTGTCAAAACCGCATTTATTTTTTCTAAATTTAAGAATGATTTATCTTTGAACAAGTGGACAGTTTTGTTACCCAATACATATCTGCCGGGATCATTTGTAACAACAGCCGCCTTTGTCTTTATATGACCAAGTTCACAATTAATTTCAACTTCCGCTAATGGTAGACACACTAAATGATCATTTAAAAGATATTGTACTCGGACAGGCTCTCCAGTCATTTTTGTGTTATCTATGTATTTTCAAGAAATAATATCTATTATGGCTCCTGTGTCTCGAAGAATAGGCATTTCATACCTATTAACTAAACCGTTAATTGTATATGTCTCTAACAAATCATCATTTGAAGATATGCAATTTACCCTTTCATTTGGTTTTAAGTGAGGGCATTGAGGCTTAAAATGTTCATATGACCTACACTCAAAACAACGTGATCGATATCTTTTGTCATATAAATTTTCTTGGTTCTTGTTTTGAAATTAACTTCTTTGTCGGTGGTCTTTCTGGTATTTTGAATCTTTCTGGTATTTTTTACAAACGAGGTTTAAATGATCCTTTGATAATTTTCTCAGTTTTTGTTTATTAATTATTGTTTTTCTCACATCTTCAAAATCTTCAATTTTTGTAACCATCTCAGTAGGTGAAATGATGGTAGTCCATTCATCCATAAAATTTTCTTTCAAATCAGGAGAAGTACGCTTTTTAATTTGATCAACCAGCATGAGATCTTTTATCTCTTCAAAAGTTTTAATGTTTAATTCGTTAAGCCATCCTTCTAAATAATTCTTTAATTCATAGTAGAAATCATACCAAGTACTTTCAGTTGATTTTTGGTGTTTATTAAATAATTGTCAAAATTTTTCCGCACTCAATTTAAATTGCTGTAACAGTAGAGCTTTTACATATTCATACTTTTTCGCGTCCTCTTCTGGTTCTCTAGCAGTAAGCTGAACAATATCAGGAGGCAGCAACGAAATAAGTTAAGTCACTTGATTTTCAGCAAGTATATTCATAATTTTAGTTTGACGCTCAAATAACACCAGAAATAAACTTATTTCATCTTCTTTAGGGCTGAAACATGGCATGACAGAATGAATTCTGATTATTAAAGGCTGCTCAGGTAACTGTGTAGTTTCTACCGGCTGTGCTCTTGCAACTATTGCTTCCAACTGAAGTTTCTGTAGCTTAAAAGCTCTAATTCACTTTTCTCTTTCACATTCTTTTTCCCTTTCTTCTCTTTTGCATCCTTTTCCCCTTTTTTCTCTTTCACGTTCCTTTTCTCTTTCATATTCTCCTTTTCTTTCTCTTCTTCTCTTTCATGTTCCTTTTCTCTTTCTTCCCTTTTGCATTCCTTTTCTCTTTCACATTCTTCCTTTCTTTCTCTTTCTTTTCTACTTGCAGCCAGTAATTCTATGAGTAAATTCTTCATCATAACCGGGACTTTCAGTAATCAATTTATGCAATTGAGTAATCTTAAATTCAGGTCCCACGGTTAAACCTAACTCTTCCGCCAGTACCTTTAAATCCTGTTTTCTACTCTTAGCTAAGAATGACATGTTGAAGAAGTTACCTTTAATAATCTCTCCTTAAATTTGAATCTTACAAATCATACCTGTATTAAAAATATATAATTTTTGCGAGACTTAATTTGTCAAATACGAAATTCACACTAACCAATTGGAGAGAATAATTTAAATAACTTTGCCAGTTTGGCTCACAATAAAATAATACTATGCCGGGTTGACTTTTTAGCTCTCTATTCACAAGCCTCATTGGCGATAACTAAAGAAACACCTTTACCAGTTAGGCAATAGAATGAAATTTTACCCACATCAGTTTGACAATTTTACTATCTATCTCCATGACTGGTTGGCGATAACAAAAGCAATTTTTGCCAGATTGGCAATACAGTTTAGCTGTAAAACATCGGGATGATGTTACTATGAACCACATGCCTGGAAAACAAGAACTAAGAAAAGTCTTTTGCCAATTTGTCAGTACAATCAAATCGCACTACACCAGTTTGATGTTACTACTTATTTTCCATGCGCCTACTTGGCAGCATATTCAAACACACAGCTAGCAGTTCTTTATATATATATATATATGTAAGATATAATAAAATATGATAGCTGTTTCAAAAAAAATAAAAATTGATGACCTCAAAATAATTAACATTCTAACTTTGGTAATCTGCCCCTAAATCCATCTCTTCTCACAGGTTCCAGACTTTTTTATCTTATGTAACATTTTAATGCAGATGCCTCTCGTCCAATCAAATTAATTCTAAACCAAAACTGTGAACTGAAACTTCAGCTTTCTTGCTATGAAAGTACTATAACCTTCACCTTTTTCCCGCGTTAGCTCTCCTGCTCTCCTGCTGGTAAGACGCATTTCATCCATGCTGCTGCCGCTTACTTGCTTAAGATGACGTCAAACTTAAAAATGGAAGTTATTCTATTCAAACATTATTAAGAAATATCTTGTCTGAAAAAGAATTATTTGATATGCATGGAAAAAATAAAGATTGTGATTCTTCAAGATATGTTGTGCTAAATTGCGTCATCATGCTTTCCACTCTGCCACCTTCAAGCCACTACGGTCTTCTCGGTCATCTACGCGGTATCGTAAGCTGTTGGGAGGTCCACTGCTTTAATCTACGCATTTGAAATCATTACATATTTATAAAAAGTCGACAGGATACGAAAGTCAGGACAGGATTAACCTGGTGCAAGTTTTCCCGAATGGATTTCGACCTCTGCTGCCTCAAACTTCCAGTGAATCACCAAATTCGTTTCCGGTGTGTGATTTAACGGCATATTCTAAAAGTGCTTTGAGATCATCGAATATATTCAAGTTCAAAATCAAAACTGTTTCGAATCAAGGTCAGCGACGCCAACGTAGTGAAATATGTTATTGATTCTGGCTTGCTTGGGATATTCGTAATGCTGTCCGATCATCGCGTAAAAAGAAAAACATCCAAAGTGCTTTAAGAGCAGCAACCTCATAAGGGAAAGAGTGTTTTGTGCACATTTTGCGTTTTTCAGTGCTCTTATTCAAAGAATGGAATATTATCAAAAGTTATTAATTTGATATTGAAGCGGTATTAAGTTCCAAAATGAGTAAATTACGTTTAAAAAAAAAAAGAAGAAAAAACTTTGCATTTATAGGTTATGATATTTATAGTTTATGATAAACGTTGAAGGCTCTCACCTTATGAAAAAATTCATTTTTTTAATATAAGTATTTTGTATTTTTTTCATAAAATGGAGTGTGTTTTTAATATTTTACATATGGAAATGACAGCAGTTCGAAAAAGGCCAGTTGCCTCTATAGAAGGAACGGAGGCCTTTTCTACAGTAACTGCTAATTTGGCAAATCTTTGGCCACTGGTGAAGAATATTAACACCAGTTTGCTCAACTGATAAACCAATATGATGGAAATGCTAGTATTTAGATAAAGTTGTGGAGTCTTCAAGTTTTGTAAAGAATAAGTAATTTTAAAATGTCTTTATAATAGTGAAATGTTTAAAATTTGTTGTGTTTATGAATGATGTTTTACAAAATTTTTATATATTAAAATACCTTCCCTAAAAAATATAATTAAATAATATGAAAATTTACATCTTAATTTGTAGTATAATAGAAATATTTTCATCAACAAAAATTTGAAAGAATTTTATTTGAACATTTAGTTTGTGAAAAAATTTGAACTTTTACCATGTGGAACTATCAAGAACTTTACAAAATTTCATTGGATATTCTTACCTCAGAACTCTAAAATATGGTATTGTTTAAAAATAATTCAGTGCTAAGATTCATAATTCAATTCAGAATTTTATGACTTTCAATGAAATGTCAAAATATTGGTCAAAGTTTTATGGCAATAATATTTTGTTTTAAAAAGAAGTAGATATGTTTTGTATTTTCATAATTATAACTTTAACATTTTGCTGTTCTAATGCTTGTTCTTCCACCCTGCTCACCCAACTTTTCTTTCGAAAGGGGGGATATGTAAGATATAATAAAATATGATAGCTGTTTCAAAAATATAATAAAATATGATAGCTGTTTCAAAAAAAAATAATTGATGACCTCAAAATAATTAACATTCTAAATTTATTAATCTGCCCCTAAATCTATCTCTTCTCACATGTTCCAGACTTTTCTATCTTATGTAACGTTTTAATGCAGATGCCTCTTGTCCAATCAAATTAATTCTAAATCAAAACTGTGAACTGAAACTTCAGCTTTCTTGCTATGAAAGTACTATAACCTTCCCCTTTTTCCTGCGTTAGCTCTCCTGCTGGTAAGAAGCATTTCATCCATGCTGCTGCCGCTTACTTGCTTAAGATGACATCGAACTTAAAAATGGGAGTTATTCTATTCAGATATTATTAAGAAATATCTTGTCTGAAAAAGGGTTATTTGATATGCATGGAAAAAATAAAAATTGTGATTTTTCAAGATATGTTGTGCTAAATTGCATCATCATGCTTTCCACTCTGCCACCTTCAAGCCACTACGGTCTTCTCGGTCATCTACGCAGTATCGTAAGCTGTTGGGAGGTCCACTGCTTTAATCTACGTATTTGAAATCATTACATATATAAATGCCGGGATGGCTTACACATATCAATTATCAACATAAAAATTCAATGCAAATAACAGTAAAGCCTAAATAATAATTTTAAAATACTTTTTTACCACAAATATTATATATAATTTACGCCAAAAAATTTTAGTATCAGTTATTTTACACAAAAACTTACACTATTTAAATATAATTTTGAAATGATATATTTAAATTCAATAAACACTTTTTTATGAAACCAAAAGTTAATCTTATCTTCAAAGATCAGTAATATCCTGTTGTGAGAATTCTTTTCTCGGATGCAAATTATAGAAACACAGAAGATAACCTTTGAATGATCCGCTTCAAAAACTGGCTTTAAAACAATAGACTTCTGACATCCATTTCTCCTTGAAATAACAAACTCGGCAATTGGTACTACAAACTTGTTCTCAAAATTTCAGCAGCTTTCTGGGATTAGGAGACCTGCACCATCGAAATTGACAATTGCACTCCTAATTTCCAATATGTTGGTGGAACCTTCAATTTTATGAGACTGTAACATATTTTGCAGTCTTTATCGAAATAACACATGAGCTTTTTTGTAAAACATGAAATTTTATTCTCAATTCACAAATATAGATAATTTAAATTCAATCCTATCTGTTACAGCTTCACACTCCAGCTTACTATTACAGTTTCTTTCTCTATAAATTTTTCATACAACTACTAGTTGGTAAAACTTTCAGAAATGTAAGTTTAAACAATTTCTGACGTTGCTGAGCAACTGTTACCATGATATAAATATGGTGAAGACAATCCATTATCAAAGGATAATAAATATAATTATTATTTATTAAAAATCAAAAATGGAAAAGATTATTAGAATATGGTAGCAGACAGAACACTGTCATTATTTCTTTCATAATTTTCTTTAAATGATAAATGTATTTAAAGTATCAGAAAATTTGTTTGCCATGATATTTATAAATTTTTTTAAAAAATTTTCCATAGACGTTTTTCTTAAAAATATAGTTTAGTAAGATTAGTATCATTTCCATAATAGTGTAGTATGCAATCTACCTGAGCTGTGTACTGAAATTATTTATTTCTTAGATGTCTTCAATAAACACTATTTTTATATATGAAAATAAATACAAGTAATTAAAAATGTAAATGAGAATAATTCCCTTTATTGATTTAATAAACTATTGAATTTTTAGTTCAGCCATATACATTACAAATCGGCCAAAAAACAGTCATTCCTTTTTCTAACAGATCTCTACTGTGCTTCTGCAAGATAATGTGGCAGCATTTGCAGCGTGGTATTCTGCATATTAGAATTTATAACTTCAAAATACCCCAGTACAATTCATTTGTTTGAATCTGTAAAATTGACTATACTGTCTGTAGGATTGACAAGAATGTTATCAATCTTGCAGATGACAGTGAAATAAATGATTAAAACAGCAACTAATTTTAGTGTTGCCATCTAAGAAATAAATAACTCACTAAAAGTGGTGAATCACATTCTACAATATTGCAATCATTTCTGTAGGGATTAAACAGAGAGCACAATACAAAGTTTAAACTATACTGTTTTACTAACTAAACTATTGTGATGGAATAAGAAAAATAGCTAGATATAGGATGACAGACATAGTTGCTGAGCGATCCCACTATAATGTGATAGCCCATATAAAGTTCACAGGATAGTTTTATGCACTCTATCATCTCTGGTACAAAGTTCAGATATTTACAAATGGCTTCTGAATACTGTTGTCAATTTGTCTGGAAGACTACAATTCCTCCAAATGTCCTGGAAGGCTTATCAGTGGGATCATCCATCCACTTCATGGCCTCTGAAGCATATCTGCTTCTGCTTATGTCCACTGCTTATCTGATCAATGCTAGTGGTGACGTGGGTATACTTTGTACATCTTTGGCCTTTCCTGATGGACATACACTCAGGATATCTGTTGTGTGAACATCACCATCATCATCGAGTAACCTGCAAAAGAGAGAACAAAAAAAAAAAAAAGTATAAGTTCTTTGGATTTGATACTATACAATCATTAATCACTTGACCATGACTTCATATGCTCATCTTCAGTGCATGTCTTATTACGTCCATCGTAGCATCCTACTCTGCCAACTTCATATCTGTTATTCGGTTTGGTAGCTGTAACTTTGGAAGGTTCATGAAATTTAGGTCTTAATTTCAATTCAGTCCCGTACTGAGTTCTTTGAATGACTACTGATTCACAAATCTTATACAGTCGGGGTTTCTTTCTTCCCTTATCGAATTGTTTACTATTCGCTTCTTGTAGCTTCAATTTTTTTTCCCACATCTTCCCTTCTTTTTTTCACATTCTTGCATTAATTGATTTAAATATTCTTCATTCAATATTTTTCTAATCCTGAAGTCTTCATTGTTTTTCATTTCTGTACCTTCAAGCAGTTCAGGTGGCATACCTGTTGATTATTCTCTGTGCATTGGAAATATACTTAAACCATCTTGTTGAAGCTTCATTTGACAACTTTGACAAAACAGATCCTATGGATCTGCTCAATTTGACCATTTTCTTTGATATGCCAATAATACTTTTGATGTATTCTGTTCTTTCTTCGGTCCAATAAGTTTCAAACTCTTCTATGTGAAGGCACTACCTCTGTCAGAAATTATTCTGGCAGGATTTCCAAATACAGTCTCTTGTTGCTTCAGTTTCACAATGACTCCATGCATAGATGGAGATCTCACAGCATAAAACCAGGTAAACTTCGTGAAAGCATCGACCACCCTGAAAAAATGTGTTGGTATCACTTATTTGTTGATGAAAGTGGTCCAATGAAATTGACATGGCACATGTTTAATGGAACCTTTTCCTTCTGTATAGGATTTAGAAAACCTCCTTCTTTTCCTTGTTTCTTGTTGTGTGGTATGCACTCTGCGCATCTCAATCTAGAAATATAAAATGCTTGCTCTTTGGCATTCAGAGATTTCTGTATAGTGAAAGGTTCTCTTTTATGTACCTTCTATATAATTTCATTCTGTAATGCTTGTGGTACTACTACCAGATTTCTTCCATTTTCCAATTTATACAAAATATCATTTCTTAGAAAGTATTCATTTTTCTCCTTTCTCGACTAAATTTTTAATCAATTTCTCATGCTCATCTTCATTTTGTTGTCGAGTTTAATGAATCTTCTCGGTTACATCAGTTGTATACAAGGTTAAAGTTGAAGCATTCCTACTCAAAATGTCTGCATGTTTCATTTGGTTTCCAGAATGATGTACATTGCTCAAAAAAAAAAATGGGACAGTGCTATATCTCCCGTTCTACTGGGCCAATTGACAAAATTCAAATTGTGTTCTTCATGTCTCGAAAGCGCGACTTAGGATATATATTAGATTTATATATGGCACTATTCTAACATAGGTATTTTGACACAAAATCGGACTTTTTCTGAAATAACATACAAATTTTTTTACATATTTCGATTCCACGACTCAAATTATGCCTAAATATGAAATTTTGTAAAATTTGGAGCGAATTTACGGAGAAATTCACAATTTATGTTGGCACTTTTTGTTCAGTTTGCGCCAAGAATAGGTTCACTTGGCGAACGTCTTAATATATGGCAACCTTGTTTCCTTTCCCGTGAGAGGAAAAAAGTTACCATCATTCTTTTTTCCAAATATATTCTTTATATTTTTGTATTATAACTGTTTAT